AAAAAATATTTAATTTTGTTCTTAATTTTTAGAATTAAACAAAATGTTTAAATCTTCAGAGAGATATAAAATTAACTAAATAAACTGATATAATACATTTATTCTCTATACAACCAAGATAAATCATTATTATGTAACTAGTTCTTCAAGGGTTTCAGAAAATGTTTCTTTTTTATTTCCTTTTACGAAGCACTGTAATCACGAAAAATTCTGAGCTTCATATTTCAATGAAAATATCCATTTTGACTGCTATTGAATGCAATTTAATGATGTTTTTGCAGGACATCTGTGTGTAAGGACAGAATAAAGGACTCTTTTCCCCCCAAACGAATTATAAAACTGATTTAATAGAGATTCAGAAGAGATTTTTTGTGGTGCTTATACGTATGTACGTATATATTTCTCATAATTGAAAAATGAGTTGCCTCAGAGCGTTGAAGCTTTGTATACAGGACTGCTGTAACATGTAGCTGTGCACCTCCTTTTTTTGGTTGCAATCGGCCGCACCAAAAGTATGTATATCCATTCTGCTATTCAGCTCAATGAGCTCAGTTTTTTACTTCCTTGTATGAAGTAAAAAGGAAGTATTGTAATAGCAAAAAATTTCGGGTATCATATTTCAAGGAAAATATCCATTTTGACCGCTGTCGAATGCAATTTAACAATGTTTTTGCTTGACATCTGTACGTAAGGACAAAATAATGGACTCTTTTCCACAAAAAAATTATAAAACTGATTTAAAACGAATTCTGAAGAGATTTTTTTTCGTGGCTTCTGTAAATACGTACACATGTATCTCGCATAACTCAAAAACGAGTAGCCTCAGAAAGTTAAAATTTTGTATATAGGACTGCTATAACATGTAAAAGTGCATCTCTAGTTAAATCCTAGTATACGGTACAGCCTTCGTGCGATTCTGAAAATTGACGCCAACTCCAAAATGACTCATTTACTGCTCATCATAATGTCGCCAAAATCCTATGTTGCCGTGTACTAAGATTAAACCAAAGCATTTGGTTGTAATCGGAAGCACCAAAAGTATATAAATACAGTCAAAAGTCATTAGTTCGGACACCCATAATCCAGAATGATCTATAATCCGGACCTCAAAGCTAAAAACTATCTGCGCATGCGCCACGTAGACACATGTCCATAGGCGTTTATGAGTGCACGTAAGACCGTTACGACTGCGCACATGCATGTGCGCAAGCGCAGAATATGTTTTTGCGTGTGCGTTTTATGTATAACGGGCGGTATAAGCTAAAATTATCTAATTATCTATTTCAGTTAATGTTGATGATTGCGTTATTCCTTAATCTTCGAATTGGATCCGGCTTATTATTTTTTGCAGACTGTAAGAGCAATTTTATAAAAGTAAACTTGAACTTTCAATTATGTCAAATAGAAATTCCGATGCTGGAGCTCCCAAAGGATCTACAAAACGAAAGTATGTTTGATGTCCATCAAACAAAGAGTGGAACTGCTGCAAAAAATGGATAAAGACATGAAGAAGGTGACAGAGAGGTTAGTGAAAACGAAAAAAATTTCGATTGACAAGTTAGTCGGTATTCTCGGCACAGCAATTACAGGACTTGAACAGCGGAACTTTGTAACTGAACAAGAAATTATGTCTGCTTATAGAATTAAAGAGAAAGTATTATCACATAAAATGAAGCAATTTAAACAACTTACATTGAAAGAAATGTTTAATAAAATAAACAGATAAATATTAAGCTTTTTTTTGTGTGTGTGTAAATTTTGATACCCTTTAGATCATAATTGTTCTTTATTTCATAAATTACGGTTTCATATTTTTAATTTTAGAATTTCTGCATGCCATCTTACGAGATTGAAACTGATGATCTATAATCCGGAAAAATCGATAATCCGGAATCGCCGAGGTCCTGACGAGTCTGGATTAACGACTTTTGACTGCATATGTATATGATTAAAGACATAAAGTAAAAAATTAAGAACTACAGTCAAAAGTCGTTAATCCGGACTCGTCGGGACTTTGGCGATTCCAGATTATAGATCATCAGTTTAAATCTGGTAAGATGGCATGCAGAAATTAGAAAATTAAAAATATGAAACCGTAATTTATGAAATAAAGAACAATTATGATCTAAAGGGTATCAAAATTTACAAAAAGAAAAAGCTTAATATTTATTTATTTACTTTATTAAACATTTCTTTCAATGTAAGTTGTTTACGTTGCTTCGTTTCATGTGATAATACTTTTTCTTTAATACTATTAAACAGACATAATTTCTTGTTTAGTTACAAAGTTCCGCTGTTCAAGTCCTATAATTGCTGTGTTGAGAATACCAACTAATTTGTCAATCGAAATTTTTTCGTTTTCAATAACCTCTGGGTCACCTTCTTCACTATCGGAAGCGAATTCTGATGACGAGGAACTTGATTTAAATCATATCAAAGGCGGAGTACATCGAGATGAAATACTACATTTAGTAAGGAATTATAAGCAAAATAAAATAAAAACATCTGCGCTGAAGATAAGGATAGTGCTGACAGATCAACTTCCAATTCATTGCGCACCACGGCGTGAAATTGATAAACAGATTTCGGACTTCAAAACATACTTTCTCTTTGTAGATCCTTTACATATTAGTAAATATATATCGGAAATTCTATTTGACATAATCGAAAGTTCAAGCTTACTTTTATAAAAATTGCTCTAACAGTCTGCAAAAAATAATAAGCCAGATCCAATTTGAAGATTAAGGAACAACGCAATCTGCAACATTAACTGAATTAGATAATTTTAGCTCAGCTTATACCGTCCATTACACATTAAACGTGCACTCGTAAATGCCTGTGCGCATGCGTGAACGCGACGCATGCGGAGAAAAGTTTGTAGCTTTGAGGTCCGGATTATAGATCATTCCGGACTATGGGTGTCCGAATTAATGACTTTTGACTGTAATATTTTGCAAAGACTAGAAATTGATGGATAATTAATGAATTTCAAATAATCATTGATCAATGATTATTTGAAATTTTATTCGAGGAAGTAAGTTTAAATGAAATGCAGGAAAAAATGCGAATAATTTAATATTCCGTACAAGGAAGTCATGGTGTACACATCAGCTAGTTTTATATTATTTTATACGTAGTAGATCTAGACTTAGGATGCAAGTGCATAGGTCTTAAACCTGAAAATATATATGTTTCTGGAACGCACATACTAAAAAAGGAAATCTAAAAGTTTTCAGATTTTATATTACGCCTAAAAGAGATTTTTTTAAAAACCTTTTGTGTCTTACCCTTTATTTATTAAATACCATGTTCTTCATGTTTAAACCACATGAAATTCAGTTCAACAGCAATATCACAAAATATTTTCAAACAGCAGATCTTTAAAATTTCCGATATGCAGTCTTGTGCGCTGAAGATAAAAATGGGTCCCCCCTTGTTTTCATTGCACACTTTGAAATCGTTGAGTTTGTTAATCAAAAATTCATTAAAGTTTTCCAGAATTTGAAATAAATAATAAAGCAAATTCAAAATTCAAAATTTGGGCTTCCAAGTGTCCATGTTCGGTTGAAGGACTATGTTTTTCAAAATTTGATGGCTTTCTTTAAATATAATACATGGTGATAATGTTTTATGGCAACAGTTTGAAAAGTGAACCAGCGCAGAAAGTGAAACGACACAAAATTGCCTTTTGAGACTAATAGCCCTTTAAGTCTAAAAAAAAAAAATCTGAAAGCTTTAAGATTTTACTTTTTAGCATTCTGTGGGTTACTTTTATTTATTAAATATCTTCTTTGCGCTTGAATCATAAAATTTAGTTCAACAGCAATATCGCAAAATAATTTTAAAATGAGCATTACTTTAGAATTTCCAATACACAGTCTCACGCGCTGGAGATAATGTTTCTTTCTCTGTACAGGTGTTACCTTTGCTTGCTTTGAAATTGTCGTGTTTGTTAATCAAAAATTCTTTTGATTTTCCACTAAATGAAATAAATAATAAAAGAAATTCCAAAATTGGGCTTCCAGATGATCACATTTGGGTGGAAACATACATTACTCAAAATTTGATAGTGCTAGGTACTTTCATTTTGTCAGAATGTGAGAAACATGCTTACATTTATGCAGCTCCTTCATTATTTAATTTCTGTAAGTATAATACAAGGTTGCAATATTTGGTGGCAACAGTTTGAAAAAACGAACCGACATTTAAGCTTTTCAAAGCAAAATTTCAAACTGAAATTAATAGCACTTCTGGACTAATAAAAAAAAACTGAAAGCTTTCAGATTTTACATTACGCCCAAGTGGGCCTTTTTTAACGTTTTGTATGTTACCTTTATTTATTAATACCATGTTCCTTGCACTTAAACCATAAAATTCAATTCAACAGCTATATCGCAAAATAATTTTAAAATGAACATATCTTTAGAATTTCCGGTAAACAGTCTCGCGCGCTGGAGATAAAAATGTTCCCCCCCCCTTCATCCAGTGTTGCCATTGCTGGCTTTGAAATCGCTGAGTTTGTTAATCAGAAAAGTCATTAACATGTTACAAAATATGAAATCGATAATAAAACAAATGTCAAATTCCAAAATGCAGGCTTCCAGATGCCCATATTCGGTAGGAGGTTACGTTATTCAAAATTTGATGGTTCTAGGTACCGTTGTTTTATCATGCTGCGAGAAACATACATACATTTATGCAGATTCATTATTTAATTTCATTAAATATAACACAGAGCGATAATATTTGGTCTCAACAATTTGAAAAAGGAATTATCGCAAAATACCAAAACGAAATTAATAGTCCTCGGCAAATTCCCCCTTTGGACTAAAAAAAGAAAGAAAGGAGAATTGTAAAGTAGAAAATATAAATATAAATTTATATCAAGAACTTAACTTTATTTCAACTTTGCATATAAACAAATTCTACAGGATGTCGCAGCTCATTAAACAGCCAATTAATTCTTTGTAAAATAATAATGTAGATTTTATTGTTTTCAGATGCTTCCCTGGCCACCATTCACTCCTGATCTCTCACCAATCGAACACATTTGGGATGTAATTTGGAGGCCATTTGCAGACCTTGCCATTGCTGTGTTCTGAAAACGAACTGTGGCAAATGGTTAATAGGAAATGGAAAACTGTTCCTCAGAACACCATCCATAGTCTCATTGACTCTGTACCTAGAGATGTATTTCTTCGTGTATCGCCATCCAAAGTGATCTGAGCCGACGCTGTTCTCGCTGTGTATTATGCATATCATTTCGAAATAAAGATCACTTATGGTTCGTTGCTGTCTCTCCCTGTTTGCTGAATTTCATCACTTTCTAGCGGCTCTTTCTTGGTGTTGAATTTTCAATTTCGGGTAGTGTATAAAAAAATTTCAATGTCTTCTCATGCTTGGTTCACAGTTTGATGAAACCAGAAGGTAATGAATGCTTTAAAATTTAAGAAACAGTTAACCTAAATGGACTGGTGGACGATTGCTAACGACAGATGACAGTAGCAGCAATTGCAACCACAAAATGGAAAATGTGGAAATTCTTATAAATGCCAGGTTCAGTAACACATGTTGTACGTATGCAAATTTTAGATTGCCGAAGTTGTTTGTCACGTGATAGCGCTGATAAAAGGTATAAAGCATTTGACACATATTGACCGTTGTTGTTTAAAAGCAAAGTTTAACAAGAAAGAATCAGTTGACGAACTTGAAATTTTCAGTATGTCTTCTCGACATCATTTAGGTTAGGGGTCTTCAACCCGTGGCCCGCTGAAGGCATTTTGGTGGCCTCAAATTTGAATTTGAAGAACTTTAAGAAGTATTGATTTCAAGAAAAATTCCCTTGTCAGCTTTTTGTCGTAAAAAAACATCTTATTCATGATATTTGAAACATTTTATTGACATGCCTGATATTATTTGAGATAAAATTTACTGAAAAGGAGGAATTTTAGGACGTTTGCCTTAATTGTGACGACAGTTTGCCTGTGGTGAAGGAATACAACATTAAGAGACATTATGATACTAAGCACAGTGAGAAATATTCTGCATTGGAAGGTCATTCTCAATTTCAAGTGATAAGGTGAGTGAATTTTACTTCACCAAAGCAAAAATATATGTTCGTGTTAGTTGCATGATAGCAGAAAAACTGCTAAGCATGGAAAACCCTTTGCGTATGGAGAATTTGCAAAAGAATGTCTTCAGAGTGCAGTTGATGTGCTTTGTCCATCACAGGCTGAAGTGATATTGAATATTAGCTTGTCTGCACATAGAGGATCTCGCAACAGATATATTCAGTAAATTAAAATCCAAATGCAAAAAATTTGAGTTTTATTCTGTAGCAATGGATGAATCAACAGATACTGCACAAGTAGCCATTTTTATTCATGGCGTTGATAGAGACTTCTCAATTGTAGAGAAATTAGCCAGTGCCACTGCACTTAGTGCGCTGTATGAAAGGTATGACACAAGGACCAGATTTTTATTCGAGTCTGACACAAACTTTGGATAAATGTAATGTTGACTTCAGTAATATATCTGCTATAACCACCGATGGTGCTAAATCTATGACTAGAGAGAAAATAGGAGTAATAAACATTACTCAGATCTGATGTGAAGACAAGTGGAAATAATACTATGATGACTTTCCACTGCATCATCCACCAAGAAAATTTGTGCAAGAAATCCCTCAGACTTTGAACAACATGTTATGAATGATGTTGTAAAAGTGTTTAATTTCATTCGGCTAAAGGACTTAATCACAGGCAATTTCAACAGTTCTTAAGTGATTTGGAAGCTGAATATGGTGTTTTTGTGTATTGTTACGTTTTTTTTTCCCCTTCTTCTGACACCAGTTGTTGCGTTATTTTCTTCCTTCACGTTCGTGCGGGGTTTGTGTGGATTTGCAGTAAATAACGATGACACTTGATGAAGTATCGAAACACACTTTATTTGTCCAATATTAATCAGGACAACTCCAAAGTCACTTTTTACAGTCATCGAAAATCTACTGTAAACACGCTGGAACAATCAGTGACACAGCCTTCACACTGTCAGGCAATAACGGTGGAGACAGCTTCCTGCAAAGCACCCGACACTGCTTTCCGAAGTACTGCTCCCTCTCTTTTGTCTTCCTTGGACTCTTTCTCTCGGAACTCCACGTACTCTCCACGCTACGACTCGCAATGCACTCTACGACACACAAAGCACAGCTCCTGACTCTCGGTTCAGTCTTTTCCGGAGCTCAACACGCTCTCTCGACGATGCACTAACTGCGCTACTCTACAAGACTCTTTCAGTGCACTCGCTGGCCGGCTGTCAACGCGATCACCTCCGCAGGGATTGACTCGCTAGACAAAACACACTCACTCGATGAGAGACGCACACTTACTGACTGCGGTCCAGCAGGGTTTATATAGCTTTCGGCTTGTGTTCGAGAACATTCTGGTCTAAACTGGTAAGAATTCATTCCAGAAGCCTCTCCATCCGTCCATAGTATACCGCCAATTTTGTCGCCAAACAAGCGATTTCTCGTCAAATGTGGCAACCCTAAAACTGCTTTGCGGGGAAGCTAACTCACTGCGCCTGTACATTTCGTAACAGTATTACGCGGAAGTACGTTGGTTGAGCCGAGGAAAGATGTTTCAGCACCTGTTTTCTTTCAAGAGCGAAGTTCAACGATTTATGGAATCTAAAGGGATATCTAATCACAAGTTCAGTGATGAGAAATGGGGGAGAGCCTTTGCATTTCTTGCCGATATTGCAGGTCATCTCAATGATTTGAACTATCACTTACTGGGAAAAGATCTACTTGTTCATAATCTTTATTACTTTCTGAAAGCTTTTGAGATAAAATTAATCCTATGGAATGTCAGTTGATAAATACGAATTCCACTCATTTTCCAAACTTAATGGAGTGTGTAAGGAACTATACAACATGGAATTCAAATAATTATCTACAATTTGAAATAGGAATTCAAAAGCAGATTTTCCAATTTTCGTGAAAGTAAAATTTTTATCAGATTTTATTGTTCTCCTCACCATTTTCAGTAGACGTTGGAAGTGTTCCAACTGAACTTCAATTAGAATTTATAGATTTACATTGTGACTGCAGCAAAATGCAAGTTTTTGAAAAACATATATTAATTGATTTTCTGTTTTTTATTTATTTAATCCTAGATTAATTTATTTCATTATTTTTATTCGATTAAGTACTTTATGTACATAACGAGGAACAAGGTATCCGGGAATTCGTAAACATCCACTCTTCATGTCTTCTGTCTTTGGCAGTACCTACATATGCGAACAGCTTTTTAGTAAAATGAAAATTCTAAAATCAAAAACAAGAACACGGCTGACAGACAGACATTTTGAGGAAACTTTAAGAATTGTCAAATTTCACATTACAACTTAAGTAACTACAATCTCCACTAGTAATGTAAGTTTTTTTTTTTTTTAAATTGTAAATGCATTTTTGCAACTTCTTTCTGTACAGTCAGTCATCTTTATATCTTTTTTTCATAGTTAAAAAAAGTTGCAAAACATTTTAATTCGATTTCCCTTTGGCTTTTTGGAACCAATGTACAATGTGTAACACTATCTCTTTGCTTAGAATGAATTGTAGTCTTGCAAAACAAACCTTCCTTTTTTATATACATATATAAATTTGACTAGACTTTCTTCTTTTTTTTTTTTTTTTTTTTTTTTTTTTTTTTTTTTGACAGGCATGTGGCCCGCGGATCTTTGTGAATTTGTTGATGTGGCCCTCGGGCGTGAAAGGTTGAAGACCCCCAATTTAGATGATTTTTAACCTGGCTGTGTTATTGGCAGGCTTGAAGAAGGGTGAAATACACTCCTTAAAAGTGAAATTGCATCACCAACAAAGAATGCTCGTAGCATCATGCAAATTGCAGGATCGAGAGTTGTGAGATAGATATACAAATGATTAAAAACAGACACATAAAATCATTATAAACCAATTTATTCAGTATCTAATGTTCCCACCTCAGGCAGCGATAAAGCCCGCAATCCGACGAGGCATGCTATCAGTGAGTTCATTGACGGTTGCCTGAAGTAGCCTTTGCCGAGCCAAATGTACTCCTGTGCGCAGATCATCCAGAGTTTGTGGCCAAGGTCCTCGGTTAATGTCATGTCCAGTGACATCCTGCAGGTGTTCGATGGGATTAGATCTGAAGAGACTGCTGGCAAGAGTAGGATGTCAGATCCGGTCAGGCTGTTAAGAGTAAGCCAACATGCGGCTTGGCATATTTTTGCTGGAATACCATATTGGGTGTGCCCTGCAACCAGGGCAGAACAACAGGCTCTACAACTTGTGTAACGTAGCGGTCCGCTGTCAAACTGCTGTTAATGTGTACCTGGGGCGTCTTGGGATCAAACATTATGCCACTCCAAACCATAATGCCCGGTGCAGTATCGGTGTACGCTCGGCGAAATGGCCTGTTTCTTAGCGTTATCCGGGTCGCCGCCATGTTCTTTGACATTTCTCCGTCATTTCTCCACAGCCAGAAACGAGATTCATCTGTGAACCAAACCCGAAGCCATTCGATTGTCCACGCACTATGATGCTGACACCACACCAAGCGTTTAGTCTTGTGTTCGGTTGTCAATGGTACCCCTGTGGCTGGTACCTGTGAACATAAGTATACTTCAATCTGTTGCATATAGTTTTGGGTGGACACAGATCCACCGGTCAACCGGCGTTGGACTTCACGTGACATGGAGAAAGGGTCTTCAATAGTTGACTGCTGAAATACGCCGGTCTATGCGCTCCACTTCCTCTTCGACGTGCACGTACACCTTCCTAAATCCATCTTGTGACACAACATTGGATGGTACTCACGTTGTGCCCAATACGAGTGACTATTGTGCGCCGCAACAAAACCAAGTTTATGGAGTTCAATAATACGATCACGTTCCCCGTTCTTTAACTGATGTCGTCTCAGAGGCATTTTTTATGCTTCTTCGAAAGTCTCCAATGCTCCATAAATTCTCAGATGCTGTTTATGAGAAGGGAAAGTGGCTGAACTTTATAGCCCGCATGTGCTTACCACGTGATCCAATATGGGCCCAACTTTTATTATTTGTATATCCACCTCACAACTCTCGCTCCTGCAATTTGAATGACGCTATGTGCATTCTTCCTTGGTCTTTCCATTTCACTTTTGAGAAGTTAAAACAGATGTTTCTAGGGAATTGAACATGAGATACAGTGTAGTTTCAAGGTTTTGGAAATCATTTCAAACAAATGGAATGTATAGCAAATGTTACCGGTGAGGTCATTGCTCGCAGTACGATGCTTGTAGAAAATAGGTACAAGGCGAGAAGAAAAAAAAAGGGCGGGGCAGTTTTATATCTTCCGTTCTACTGGGACAATTGACGAAATTCAGATTGCGCTTTTCAAGTCTCGAAAGCGCGCGACTTAGTACAAGGTCCGGCTATTAATTTCCAGGACTGACGTAACTGTAGGAAAACGAAAAGTCGGAAGATGACGCTAATGGCTGCATATTGAAGAGCGTTTTCTTGCGCATGTGTAGTGCAATCGGCGCCATTCTGAAGTAAGTGGTTCTGGTGGAAAAGGCGCATTAAAACGTAGCTCTTAAATTCCTATTGTCGAAGTGAAAAGGGAGCAAAGAATTAACATTAAATTTTGCTTCAAATTGGGCAAGACAGCTGCGGAAACCTACGAGATGTTAAAACAAGTTTACGGCGAGGAAGCATTATCTCGCTCAAGAACTTTTGAATGGTTTAAACGCTTTCGGGACAAGTGCGAAAGCGTCGAAGATGATCCACACACACGTCGGCCGCAGTCCGTACGCACGTCAGAAGCAATTGAAAAAGTTCGCGATATGGTGAAATGTGATCATCGATTGACTATTCGAGTACTCGCCAATCAATTCAACATGGACAAAGAGACGGTTCTGCGAATTTTGACGCAAGACATAGGCAAACGCAAGATTTGTTCGATTCGTTCCTCACAATTTAAGGGACGAACAAAAGCAATTGAGACTGGACGCATGTGGCGAACTTATCGACAACCCTGATGCTGACCCTGCTTTCCTGGATAGGATAGTCACGGAAGACGAGTATTGGTGTTATCAATATGACACTGAAACCAAGCGTCAAAGCTCCAAAATGGCGGTCTCCAAGTTCACCAAGGCAGAAAAAATTTCGATTTGAAAAGTCCAAAATCAAGGTCATGTTAGTCGCTTTCTTCGATTGCGATGGACTCATTCATCATGAATTTCTTCCTCCTAACATGACTGTCAATGGACAGTTCTACACAGAAGTTCTTGACCGACTTCGAAAACGAAATCGTAGAGTGAGGCTTCATTTTCAACAAAAAGGAAGTTGGCTCCTGCTACATGATAATGCCCGCCCAGAAATTGCGTTGCCTGTGAGGCGATTCTTAGCCCAGCATAGTGTCGTTGAAATGCAGCATCCACCATACTCTCCAGACTTAGCACCCGCAGACTTTTTCCTGTTTCTTAAGCTGAAAAATTCGCTGAAGGGAACAAGATTTCAGGATGTCGAAGCCATCAAGAAAACTGTAACGTCAGTATTAAAGAGCATTCCAAAAGGACTTTAAAACTTCTTTCCAAAATTTGTACAGCCGAGCACAGGCGTGCATTACGGCTGATGGGGATTACTTTGAATAAATGGCTATGTCTTTAACCTTTTTTTCTTCTGAGTTATTCCATGAGTCCTGGAAATTAATAGCCGAACCTTGTATATATATTAGATTTATATATAGCGTTGTTGTAACATAGGTATTTTGACACAAAATCGGACTTTTTCTGAAATAATATGCCAATTTTTTCCATATTTCAATTCTATGACTCAAATTATGCTTAAATATTAAATTTTGAGCGAAATTTACGGAGAAATTCAAAAATTCAGCTTGGCTTTTTTTTTTTTTTTTTTTTTTTTTTTTTTTTTTTTTTTTTTTTTTAGTCCAGTTTTTGCCAAGAATAATTTACTTGGCGAACTTCTTAATTTATAGCAAACTATTTTCCCTTTCATTTTTCATCGTAGACGAGTGAGAAAAAAGTCATCGCTTATACTTCCAAATGATTTTAACAAAGTGCGTAAATCACATTTGGCGTTATTATCGCTCAAAAAAAAAAAAAAAAAAAAAAGATGCCAAATTTCAAAACGCTCCAACATGTAATTTCATGTAAAAAAAAAAAAAAAAAAAAAGATATTAAGAAATGTGTACCAAACTCAATTGGCATTGAGGAGCAAAAATGTTGCTAATTTCTTAAAAGTCATTAACATCATAGTCATAGATTTTAATAGCGGAATTATTAATTAGTTTTAGTTTCCTGTAAAAAATTTTTGCGATCTGGTAGTAATGTGTTCTTAATAGCTCAATTTTCAGTTCTCGTGAATTTTGCTATTTCTTACGTGCCAAGGTAAATTTGTTATCTGGCACAGAACACTATTATGTACCATTTGCAGTCTTTTTCTACTCGAACGATGGGAATGCACCGAAATAGGGCATGCAATAGCATAACATAGGAAGCAAAACGGATTTATAAATGAGAAACTTATAGTCTATAGAAAGAATACTCTTTCGAGCAATTAAGGGGAAAAGTTGAGCTTTACGTACTCGAAATTTCTAAATGATAGATATAATGTGTGGAGGTTTATGTGTGAGTATTACTTAGTATCACCACAAGATATGAGACTTGCTTATCCCAGGGAATAGTGGTGCCATAAAAATATGAGGTTATTCTTGAACGTTTTCTTCTTGGTAAACAAGATGACTTGGGTCTTGTCAACATTTACAGGAATTTTCCATTTTATTTAGCCAAGTCTGGAGCGTATGAATGTGCTTCTGTTAACGTTGGATAACTGGAGTAATAAATGCATTTTGTGTCAGGATTGCTGTGTCGTCAGCATACATTGTTGGTGTAGGTTTGGTGGTAATGTCATTTACGTAAATATTAAAGAGGAGTAGTATTCACGTAAATATTAATATATATCCCAAGGAGGAATCCTTGTAGAGCGACTGTTAGTGTAGCATGATAAGCGGACTATGTATCACATACATGAACGATAAAATGTCTGCCTGTCAGATAGGATTTACTTTGTTCAGTTCCGCCCCAGGTTTGAAGGAGAGCGCCCCATGGGACAGGTCTCAGGTTCTTCCAACTCTCTTTCCTTACCATCAATTTCTCAAGAGGACTGCTCGCCGTATATTTTCAGTGCCTCCATGCCTTCTCCGGGATTCGAAGCAGGGCTCCTCGGTATCGCAGTCGGCGTCACTAATCACTTTCTCCCGTTTGGTGGCTCTCGAAAATGTAAACTTAAGTATCATTTGCAACCGAATGCAATTCTGTAAGTATTGATTTTATTGTTGAAACATTAAAATGCTTAAACAATAATACAGTACTTAAACAAAATTTGATTTTATTCCTACAAAACCAATTAAGCATTTTAGGGCTAATTTGTTCTTGAAAATAAAACTAGCCTTCGTGGTCATGTCCCAACACAGGTAAAAGTATCTTTCCAACTTCTTTCATATTAGTTCTGTTCTTTTGGTCGGTGCATATGTCAAGGACCTGAAAAAAATTAGAAGCATTTTTTTCAAAATGGTATAAAGAGACATTTGTAACATATCTGAATACACACAAAATATCGGAAAGTTAAATATAATAAATAACAAATTGTATCTCATTAATGAATACAAATATACAACTGGTGTGCAAAACTTAAGCAACAAATTCACTTTTCAACATCCAACAATGAAATTATTGAAAAGAGCTTTTTTCGATCAATACAATGAAAAACTAACTCAATAGAATGTGATGTATAAGTAAATATCAGCACTTTGACATCAGACGATATGTCAGGGCACACAAAACATGGGGAGTCAGCGCGCCTAGTGCAAAGCAACTTATAAAGAAAAAAGGGAGGCGTATTTCCTAGCATTTTTCTGCAAGCGATTCATTGTGCAACTGAGATTTTACCTGCAGTATGACTACAAGAAAACATTAGGACGTCTTTACACTTGGCACAGTGATTGGCAAGCTTAAATGAGGTCTGTCGCCCAAGAACTTGAAATTGATAAAAGTATTGTTTCACGATCTTGGAAAGCCTTCCAAAAGATTGGTGCAGCTGTAAGAAATATTGATGGTGGTCGGTGAAGAAAAACAACAGAGACCGATGACGAATATATCTCCTTACAGGGGAAAAGACATCGAAACCAGACATCGGGCAACATTGCTGAGCAGTAGTGCACGGCGACAGGTGTCTCGGTTTACTATGGCCAGGCAACTTCATAAAGGTGTCCTAGTCACCCTTCATCTTCAACGCTGCATGCCATTGATAGCAACCTATCGGCGTCACTGTTTACAGCGGTGTAGAGAGCACAAAGACTTAAATCTTCAATCAGTGGAACCACGTCCTTTTTACCGATGAGAATCATTTCAGCCTGATAAATGATTTCCGGCACCAGTTAGTATGGAGAGAGGTGGTGACATGCATTTATCCCTCTAGCGTCAGGGAAAGAGACCGCTGAGTGGTCCTGGAGTGCTTATATGGGGAGGCATTATGAAAAACGGAGCTCAATATTCGCGACAGAGTTTCTCTTACCGGAGATCGTTAAAGTGATGAAATTAGTTTATGGATGACAACGCATGGCCACACAGGACTCATGCTGTTAAGGAGCTTCTGGAAAGTGAAGATATCTACAGAATGGATTGTTCCGTGCTCCGGATGTAAATCTCAATGAATATGTATGGGATATCTAAGGGAGACGTAAATAGCGACATTATCTTATCTTCAGGAGAGCACCAGATAACTGAAAAAGATGCATCCTGAAGAATGGAACGCTGATCGAAGATCTATTAGTTAATCTGGTGTTGAATATCGACAGACGTTGTAACTCAACCATTGTAGTTAGGGAATGTATCTCTTACTAAAGCTGTTTAGTTTGTTGTTCTCCCTCTTGGCCACTTTTTTTTATGTAACTCGTTTTGTCAGTAATGCCGTTTTTCTCTCTTTGATCTCTTGTTTTTCGGGTCTGTTCCATTCGTTGTTTTGAATGTATTCTACTCTGTTATAGTTTTCTCCCTCTTGGCCAATGTAACTGTTCGTTGCCGTTTTCTCTTCTTCCCATGCTGTTATGCATCCTCCCCCCCCCCTTTTTTTTTCTACTATACTTTTTTCATTCTTTAAGTACTACATTGTGATTCTGTAGTATAAATTTCATGTTTCCAGTTCCCCCCCCCCCGGTATTACGGCGAAAATCAGGAAAGTTGCTTAAGTTTTGCATAATAGTGCATATTCATTTCTTTCATAACTACGCTAAGCATTTAAAAAAATAATTTTCTGTTAGTATTGTGGATCAGCAGTAAAATTTTAAAGTAATACAATACATGTTTAAGCAGACTAAGATAATATTGTTAAAATAATTATAAGTTTTCGTCATTAGTAAAAATTAGAGAAATGTTAAGATTTATGATAATGATATGTAACCATAAAGGCAATAAATATTAATTGTTTAAATTGAAGCCTTGTATTGGGAGTAGTTGTAATCATAAGAAACATTAAGTGTCTTTTCGGGTAATACATGTTAACTGCATTACTTTGCAGTCGCAAAAGCTTCCCTAGGCATTAGACAAAAAATAGGTAATTTACAATCATGTAATGTTACTTTTTCGAAACTTTTATTGCAGTTTCATATAATTATTGTTCTAAATTCCTTCCGAAGTGTTTACAGGCATCACATTTCTTCACAACAGAAAAACGTAGGAAGAATAGGAACTTACTTTCATGCTAATGTATAAAAACAGAAGTTTGTATGAATATTTATTACTGTGTAGAATCCACTAGGATAATTCCTGCGTGAGAACTGTAAGAGTAGTAACTGCACAGAAGAAGGGTTTAACTTATTATTAACCTTTATTAACTCTTTAAACTTTACAATGCGTCACAGCTCGACGCTAACAAACTACACCTCTACTTGGTCGGAAACTGAAATTAAGAACTAGCTAAAGATTTAAGATATGTACATATCGTCGAACTGAACTACAGGGCTCAGAATACTTCCTGTTTCTTAAACTCCCGTCGAAAACTAGTGGCAGCAAATAAAATGCAATTAAGGGTCACGCAAACCAGCAGCAGCTCTGGGGAGGAGTAATGGCAAACCGCACATTGAGTTGATCAATGTTAAATGAATTTCGCTTACTGTGCATGCTCAGAATAGAATTTGGCGCAACTACAACTATTTTAAAAGAAAATAAATACGGTATATGGTTGATATTGTGTTATCTGGGCGTAAACCGTTCAGGGTTTTTAAAATGGTTAGGCAGAAACATGGAATGTTGCTTCATTATTTAGAGTGTAACTATCGATTGTAAACTACGCAAATTTTCGTTTAAGAAGGATAGCAAAACAGGAAACATTACAAGATATATTAGCTGAATGCTTATTGATTATACTGGTGAGGAATAAAAGCAGTTGAGTATTTACCATACTTTCCATACTTTTCGTATATACTTTATCAAATTAATGAATAAATTCAGTTCAAATTACTGAATTTAAATTGCTGAATTAAAGTCAAATAGCTGATATTAATTGTAATATTTATGAACAAAATAAGGCAAAATTAAATGAAACAGAAGCATATCAATAAGCGCACAACAAATTTCTATAGTAATGCAATTGTAAAAAAGAAAAGGTACCCCCCCCCCCAACATGACTAACAAACAGCCTTGTGTAGGGTTGCTTATGCTTAGTCGTCTTCCTCCCACGCCAGCGGTATACTATTGAGCATGCGCAATAAGCAAAATTCGGTAACATTGATCAACTCAATGTGCGGTTTGCCATTACGCTCTGGAGAGCAGACGCTTAAGCAACAGAGGTGACGGCAATTGTCTTGATTCTCCCTCTTTCCTACTGAACCTCGGTTATTAAGCACTTTCTTCAGGGTAAAATTTGCATTCCTTCACGCGCACTACCAAATTTAAATATTCTGGTACTGACAATTAGAGGAATGAAGGCTTATAGGAAATAATAAAAAATTAAATAAAATTGGTTATTTAAAATAAATGTAAATCCCTACAACTGAAACAGACCAAACAATAGTTGCTGGACAAATTGATTCGAAATTTTTCTTTGAATATGCAGTGAGTTTATTTCATCGATAAGCCAAGCGTCTCAAATTCTTAAATGTTCAGAGCAGTAAGATGTCTCTGTAATGCCATCATTAAATTAAAGCACTAAGAAAGAAATAATCTCATGTGTTCAGCTAAATTTCCTTTTAAAAAATACACACTAAAGTGTAAATTATGAATTTTTGCACCAATCTCTATTACATTTTAGCGTAACATTCCATGTTTCTGCTTGACATGTAAACAAACTTCATAAAAAGATCAGTAAGTGCAGTGACACATGAAAAGCTAACAAAGCAGATACGAACACAAAATATACTAAATCAGATAATAGCCATTTTGAATGGCAAATATCAGTTAATAAGATACAAGACCCCTTTCACATGAATACAAGCTGCACATGGACGATTCAATAATAGCGAGATGAGAAATGAGATCGCAAAGTAGTGAGATACGGAATACACTCAAATCTTCTGAGTCGCAACAAGCGACCTAGAAGATTTGTAAATTTGTATGTTGGTTGCATATCTGACATATACATTATACTGAAATATAACTGCAAGAATTTTATTCAAATTTATTCCTTCACTGTACTCTGGCGAATTCATTAAAAAAAGCAGTAGAAAAATAAACTAAATAAGGTTTTTTTGAGAATGTTGAAAATAAGGTATTTCAACGGCTATGACGGTATTAAAAATGCCCATACAAATCAACAAAATGACTTGCCCAATGACACTGTAGTTGCAGCATTGCAAGATTCACCCTTTATTGATGCAATCATAGCAGCCTTTTTTACTCACTTTCCCCAGAGCGAAATGTGATATTCAGAAATAAAATACTTTTCTATCTGTAATTTAAAATTGGGAATTTTCTGTAAAGAGTTTAAACGTTAAATTTACCTTATCCAATTCATCTTGTGGTATTGGAAGATTAGCGCAATATAATTCTTCTGTCACTTTCTCTCTTCGCTGTAAGTCAGATCCAAGATCTAATGCTTTAGGAAGTGGATAAGGGGACGAGCCCCAATTTTTTATCACATATGCTCTTAATGATTGTACTAAGTCATTTCCTTCTAACCTACAAAAGTGAAAGCTCAATTAATTAGCTGTAAGTTCCGAAAATTGATAATTCAATTCTTCTTCTAAGAATGTATCTTGTATACATGTATACATGAGCTATATACATGTATTTTTTTTTTTTTTTTTTTTTTTTTTTTGAGTAGTTTTAATTTTTTTCGACCAGAGTTACAAACGCACTTTCTCTTCATTTCAGTGCGACTGCATACACCTTACGATATTTCTCTGCGTTACGCAAAAGTAATAAAGTTATCCCTTTGCTATAAATTACTGAGGTTTTGTTGGTCTTTTCTTAAATGGTTTTTATGCTGAACAAACCCCTAAAAGAGTTTTTGGAATGTTTTTCTAAATTTGCACTTATCTAGAATTACATTTTTAATTTCTTATATTTTTAACTATCTTCTTTATTAACACTCAAAGCTCCAACAGTGGCCGTGTGGTTAAGACCGCTGTATACTTCAGCTGGCTGCATGGTTGGTTTTTGTGGTTTGCCGAATGTGTAACGCGATCAAGGACCTTTTTTTTTTTTTTTTTTTTTTTTTTTTTTCTCAGAAAATCCTCCAAAAAGGCATCCCTGCCCTTGGCATACAGCCCGCATGTACTTTGCTGCAATCTAACTTAACCTGTTAATACTAAAGATTCGATCCGATTAAATTGAACATATTTCACTTTTGAAATTATTATATTTTCTGTTTCCCTGCGTTGATATTTTTTATCTTAGTTTTGTGTTTGAACGCTTCCTTTATATCGATTCATCACTTAAAAAACAATGTGATAACTATTTTAGTTCTTATATTTATTTATTGATCATAGGCATTGCCCATCATTATACAAGGTGTCCATAATTACTCACTGGATGAAGATAAGTTTTAAATAATACAGAATAACAGATAGGGAAGAAAGACTGGCTGAATTTATTTAGCACTTCAAAGAATTTTCTATTAATACACTTCAACATGAGCAGCATTAGTTGTTAGGAGAATATCAAGTCTGTTGTCGATTTTCCTCTATTCTTATGAAGTATTTGCGGAGTCATAGTAGTTGGTTCTGTGGTAATTCGATTTTTCAATTCTTCGATGCTGAGACTCTTTACAGCGTAAACTCGGTTCTTTAGATATCCCCAGAAAAAGAAACCGAGTGGTGTAACGTCCGAAGAATGGGGTGGCCATGAAATTGGTCGGCCTCTACCAATCCAACAATTTGGTAATTTTTCATCAAGGAACACGTATACATATGTAGCCCAGTGACAAGGGCCACATCCTGTTGGGAAACAAAAGTTTGGTTGCATATTTTCTAATTGCGGTACCTGAAACAACTCAGCATATCGAAGTAATCATCCGAATTAACTGATGACTCTGTGGAATGAAGGACCAGTCACTAAGTTACTGCGCATCAAACGTTAATCTAAGGGCTATTTCGCTCAGTTTCCGTTACATAATGCGGGTTTTCTGACACCGAAGTTCTGCATTTATTATCGATTAACCTCTCCTCAAATATTAAATATTTCTTCATAATTGAATACGAATTTCTGAAGAAACAGATCATCATTATAGATACGGTCAAGAATATCTATAGAAAATTCTTTACCAACGTCCCTATCATTAGGTTTGATATGTTGACAAATTTGCAATTTATACGCATTCAGTTTCATCCATTCATGAACAACTTCACGAAAAGTCAACTTGGGAATTCCTGTTTGCAGGCTGGCACGGTAAATAGATTTACTGGACTGTATACAAACACATCTCGAATAGCGAAAGCGTTTACATCATTAACGCTTAGCTTACCTGCACTTCCTTTATACAAAGCATGTCGGGTCTCTCGAAACTGTTTTAACTGTCTTTTAATTGATTGCTTTGTTGGTGGGCTTTTATTAAATTCATGGCGGAATTGACTGCAAATTGTTTTTGAAGATTTCATCTCTCATAACCAGAGAACGCACATTGCTTTCTCAATGGATAACGACATTTTATTTTGTAAACAAACAATTCACTACTGACGTTCCCAAAAATTAGAATAAATGAAATTCCTTGAGCTAAAGATTATTTCCTGTTACTTCATAAAATTAAGCTTCAATTTAATTTTGTTATTCAGTGATCCAATTAGGGACACCCTATGTAACTGATCATTATATTTCGATTTTGTACTGCATATAATTTAATTCTAGTTTATTTTGCCACATCAGTAGGCAGAATGTGACAGTTTTACTCCATGAGGCTCTGAGGCGCACAGTGGCCGGGTGTATTGAGGAGAACAGGGGGTTGCCAGCAACGACTTCATATAACAGTATATATCTCGTTGGCTGCCACCGGATCAACCACGTGCTTTAGGTCGCTTACTACTGTGACGTGACTCACAGGCCGCATCCTCTTTAGAAAGGGTTGCTACGTCCTCGTGGATGTAAATCCAACACCTCCCAGCAGAAGAAGGAGTTGGTTAATAACGCCTTTCCTTCCGTTTGTGATGTCATCCTGGATTCCACATCCTGCATTCCATGGTTATCTTCCACTACTGATGCACACAACCTGCTGCTCTGATGTCATGCTAAATCTACAACATGACTGAAACACTCGGTGATATACTCCTTTGAAAATGTTCTAGTTCCACAACTGTTCCCGCAAGGGGGCAACAGGCTATGCGTCTTGTGATTGGTTGACATTGATGCCAACAAAGAGCTGAGGAGACGCTGGATTATTTTGCCTTATATCTGACCATTCTGTTACCCATCTATTTTGAGTTAGGCAATATGTTTTTTATCTTCCTTTCATTATTTTAATAGTCAAAGACTTTGATCTTTTAATTGTATAATAATTAAATTTTTGACTAATTTTAATTAGTGATTATTAATTATTTTTAAAAGTATTTATGCTAATTAAACAGTTATTTTATGCTACGAATCTTTACTATCACCTCTACTTTTCCTTTTTCCTGCCAGGATGCAAATTTAGCTTGTCTATATTAAGTAAGGATTTGAATTGTTTTAATTAGATCATGTTTCGCCTACTGAAGTACTATTTGATATTCTACCGTGGCATTCCTGTCTACGCGGTTGCTTTATTCTTGCAGATTGTGCTGTCACGCCGGTGTAGGTGACATCCAACTTCGCATTTAATGTCTTTGCGTAGCCTTGGGCTAAATAAGACTTAGATTTAGTTTAATTCTTTTCTTTTGATTTCTAGCTATAAATGCTGACTGAGTTTGTAAGCACCAGGAATGCCTTCTATTCAACTTCCTTGAGTTTTTAATAAAAGAGTCTTTAATACACTTAGTGCATTTCTGTTTGCTTAGCTAGGCATAGCGATAAGTCGCTTAGGTCTACTCAAGTGTATGTTACTAAAACAAGTGAGACTACAATTTCATATTGTTACGAAATGTACAGGCGCGGCAAGATAGCTTCTCCGCAAAGCAGTTTTAGGGTTGTCATAAAATTGCAAGGGACGGCAGGGTTGTCACATTTGGCGACAAAATTAACGATATACTATGGACGGATGGAGAACCTTCTGGAAGGAATTCTTACCGGTTTAATCCAGAATGTTCTCGGAACACAAGCCGAAAGCTATATAAACCCTGCTGGTCCGCAGTCAGTCAGTGTGTCTTGTCGAGCGAGCGAGTGAGTGAGTGCCTCGCATAGAGTGCGAGATAGAGTGTCTCGAATTAATCAGTCCGTGCGAGTCGATCGAGTTGACAGCCGGGCAGCGAGTGTCGAGTGCATCGAAGAGCCTCTTAGTACTCGTACATTGCGGTTAATGCATCGTCGTGAGAGTGTGTTAAGCTCGGGAACGACTGGACCGAAGAGTCGGGAGCTATGTTCTGTGTATCGGCGAGTGCATCGCGAGTTGTAGCGTGGAGAGTCTCGAGAGTACGAAGAGTTCCGAGAACGACCGAGTAGAGTCGGGAGCTGTACTCTGGTGATTTACAGTGAAGCTGTCTCCACCGTTAATACCTGACAGTGTGAAGGCTGTGTCGCTAATTGTTCCAGCGTGTTTATAGTAGATCTTCGACGATTGTAAAAAGTGACTTTGGAGCTGTCCTGATTAATATTGGCTAAATAAAGTGTGTTTCGATACTTCATCAAGTGCTGTCGTCATTATCCACTCCAAATCCACACGAACCCATAATGAACGTACCGAAGGAAGAAAGAGAAACGTAACAATATGTATCATTAAGGAAATCAACAACATATGTTTTCAATTCCTTCCAGTCTGCTTTTCTTTTGAATTTTAAACTAAATTAGTTTTCTGAATTTCTCTCATTTTTCATATCCAGTTTAAATAGTTTTTTCAGAAAATCTAATTTTATCAGATACTTTGTTCATGATATCCTTCTTATTCTGATTTATTTTCTCATTTCGTCTCAGAAAAATCTTGTATTTATTTAATCCATATTTTTTAGTCCGCCAATATTTACTTCATTCATATCTTAGTAAACACTTTTCTTTCTTTTTAAGTTTTTAAATTTTGTCTTCTGACTTCCCGGACTCATTTCTTTTTACATTTGAGTAAAATGCATTTTATGCACATATGCAATGCATATTTACATATTAATGCATGTTTACAGATGAAAACTGAATCAGGTTCAGACAGTACAGGTTTAACAATATCTCACACACTGTATAACTCCGTGAACTTGTTCAAAAAAGTGTTTTGAGACCAACATTTAGGAAGCATTCTATTTTAAAATCGCGTTATATAAGATTATTGGTTTTCCTCTTTCATTTTTATTTGGTATTGATTCACTTAAAATTTATGTTACCACGTAAATGATAGCAGTTCGCTTTATTGCACATATATATGACTAGGCATGTCAGTCATCCAGAATATACATGACTATGAATGTCAGTTCACTCTACTTGAATTTAATTGTATAATCCACTAAGATTGATACATTTCAATTCGTCTTTAACTACTACATATTCACTCTACCCAAGTTTAGTTGGGTATTGATATTTATATACGACATTGATATTTTTATGATACTAATATTTAAACAAATGAACATAGG